TTTTTAAGGTGGTCAGAACCATTTTTAAACACGTGGACTATCCTGTTGGAGCTGTCAGTCCACTCTACAGTTACATCTTCACGTCGGTAACCTGTGGTTATAAAGGGCAGCTGAACAGACTCCACCCCCGAATCTACATCCACCTGTGGGACTGTGAAGTAAAAAAAACAAAAATGATTTGTGCGCGCAGTCTGTCAAAGCCCCCATGTTTGACATGTAAAATCATGAGTGGAGAAAAGAGTAATTCAATTAGTATTCTAGACAAATAGCTGCTGTTTGTCCTCAGGAAGGCTCCTAAATGAGAGAGAGGAGCCAGTTTTGCAAAATGCGCTGGAGGATTCCTTAAGAACATGAAACATGGGGATACTACGGTTTGTGTTTTATTGAAAGAAAGGAGACAATTAAAACAACCTATTAACATAACTAATAGATTAAGAAGAAGAAAAAACACTGCAAGTCAAGTCAAGTAAAACAAATCTGAGGTTTAGGGATGATTCAGATTATTCACAATGCAAACACGTCACACACACAACATACCTTCCTTAAAATAGCTTCTGAAGTAAACTCCAACACCCACGATGACAGCTGCAACTACAGCCAGGACACCCAGAGCCACTGGGACACTGATGGGAACTTATAACACAATGAACACATGAAAATTACATGATGTTAACATAAAATGATTAACACCCTGTGACACTCCATGCAATTTTGAATCTCTTTGCACTGACCTCCACCTTTGACCCGCTGAACCTGCAGTTCCACTCTTGACTGACCCAGTTCTACTCCAAACTTACGGACGGTGCAGGTGTAGCTGCCGCTGTCAGGCAGCTGAAGCTTTTTCAGAGTGAGACTGAGGTCTCCGGTTTCCAGAGCGTCAGGATTCATGGCTGTTCGGCCGCTGAACTGCTCATTTTGGTTCTGAAGGTCATCGCCTTCTCGTCGACGCAGGTGCACTGTGGAGGGATTGAGGTCATAGCGACTCCACACAGCTGTGGATTCTTTTTCTTCAAAAGTGGGAAACTCACAGGGAAGGAGAACAAACTTCGCCCCCTCTAGTACCTCCACACCTGAGGCACACTGGGAAACTGAGGACACAGACAAAGACAAAGATCTTATTGATCCCACACGGGGGAAACGCAGCATAAGTGACAGGAAGAACATGTGAATTCAAAATGTATTTGAAAATCATAAAAATAGAAAAAGTAAATAATAAAAAGATTCTGTGCAACTATATGCAGAAAAATATCC